CAAGTTCAAAGCTGAAGAAAATGAAAAAAGAAAAAAAAAGAAAATGAAAGCAAGTCCACAGAACTGCAATATGACCTTGAGTCTGTCCCACCTGAATTGAAAAACCATCTCAAGAACAGATTTGACGCATCGTACACAATTGAACTCCAACACTAAGTATCCAATAGTCTGCTCTCTGTCTCTGTGGTATTCCCTATTCCCTACAGAGCTTCATGTAATGGAATCACAGAACAGTAAACTTTGTGAAAGCCACAGTTTTTTTAAGGAGCCTACCTATTAGAGAAGGAAAACAATTTTTTCCCCCACTGCATTGAGAGGAGTAGAAAAGTGGTGACCCTCTCAAAGGCAGAAAATGCGGGGAAGCTTTGGAGTTTAGTCTCTCAGAGGTTTTGTTGTGTGTATATTCTTTGTCTGGAAAAATTTTTCGAGGTTCATTCAGGTGGTAGCATGTGTCAGAACGAAGTTTCCTTTTATGCTGAACTGTATATTGTATCATGTGCATATACCCACCTGGTTCATCCTTCCTCATCACTGAGGTACATTTGGGCTGTCACATGTTTAGAGTTTTGTTTTTTAGAGGGGATATCCCACAGTGGGTAGGGAGGGGTTAGCCACCCTTTTGGAAGTCCCCGTGTGGCTGAGAAGCTAGCTGACAGTACAGCTGTACTTGGAGGCTCCTGGCTGCTCTCTGGGCAGAAGTGAAAGGGAATTGAGTGGGAGGCAGGGGAGTTGCTGCAGGGAGGAGGAGCCAGAATGTCCTCATGGAGGATTCACTCACTCACTCATTGCTATGGAGTCAAACTGACTCATAGCTGATCCTCCAGCGGGTTTTCCGAAGCTATAAATCGTATGGGAGCGGATGCATGGAGTGGATTTGAACCACCTGCCTTTGGGTTGGCAGTGCAGCTCTTTACCTCCTAGGTACCAGAACTCCTTTCATGGAACCTTTCCTAGGAACCAGAAGGCAAGAGAGAGAGAGGTATGGGACTGAGGTGCTGCAATGGGGGTGGAGTGGATGCCACTGGGTTTTTAGGACCAAGACCACCCACATGAGACCTTGGAGAGCAGGCTGACCCTGGTAGCCTAGCAGGCTAGGGGGATGCAGGAGAGGGACCTGGACTGAGAGGGAGCGGGATCATGGGCTTCCAGAAGGACGGTGGTCACCAGAGCCAGGAGGTAAGACTCTAGCAATGGCATAATTTCAACGGAAAGGGGCAGGAGCCAGGTGGGATGTGAGGCTAGGTAACAGTCAGGTAAGAAAGTGAGGCCGAGGGAGGAGGATGTTTTGAGAAGTTCCACTGTGGAGAGCAGAAGAGCAAGGTGAGAGAGGCCTGGGAGGCATGCCACGTGGTGGGGAGGAAGCTCAAGTAGAACACTCCCCCCACAGAAGCCTGGGAGCACTCACAGAGGAGAATCACTTCTAGGACATGGAACGAAGGGACCCCAAGGTAAAGCCTACTGGGACAGAACTGAGCAGGGACCCTGCAGGGAGGCCAGAGTGGGCTGGGCCACAGGCATCCCAAAAGCCAGGCAGAAGAATCACAACTTGCCGGACTGCTATGCAGAAAGACATATGCAAGGCTTTGGCATCACACAGATCCAGGTTCTAATCCTAGCACTGCCACGCAGAGCTCTAAGGCTTCGCCCTGTGGCCTCACTGCCCCTGGCCAGTTTCCTTGTCAGTAAATTATGCAGGACACTCCCAGGCCACAGAGTAAGGGCAGCTGGGAAGCAAGGGAATGCTAAGCACCCGTCACACAGTGAGTGCTTCATAACTGGCCACTTTAATTATACCAGGTCATTGAATACCTGAGTAAAAGATATGGAAGACCTCATGGGAGCTGTGAGGGTCCTGGAGATCAACGCAGTGTCCTTTAATGAAGCCCAGAGAAGGGGAGGGATCTGCCCAGAGATACACAGCAGAAGAGGCAGAGCTGGTCAGGAGCAAGGCTGAAGACCACTGTGGACATGTAGGGCCTGGTCGGAATCAGGGACAAGGACTATGGAGTTGTAGCTAGAGCATCAATTCTAGAATTAGGTCACCCCTAATCCCAGTCTTCCTTTTCTTATGGCCTCCGGTTAGTGGACAGTCCTACTACTCCTGTGGGGTGCCATGGTTAATTGGGGCGTTGAGGCCTGGGTTACAGTTCTGAGTAGTGAGTGTGTCCAGCTGATTGTGAGCTCGCTCGTGCCTGGTTGAGCTGGGCACTGGTGCCCTGGGACTCCTGTTCCCTCACGCCTGTTCATTCTTGAAAGGAACTTGGACCTCCTTTTCCCCCTGAGACTTGCTCTCACCTGGTGCACCCAAGCTATGTTCCCCACCCCCTGACAAGGTGACCTCCCAGGAAGTGTCCTCCAGCTGTCACCTGGTACTTAGAGTGTACCCCATGCTAGGGACTGGGAGGGAGACCATCTTGAGGAGGGAGAAGAAATGTTATTGTTCTTTCTGGGAGCCAAGCAGCCAAGGCCAAACTGGTCCCGCACCCAGAGCCAGGAGAGAGGCAGCAAGGAGGTTCATCCTGTGTGACAGATGTCACAGATTGATTCTCACAGAGGCCCTTCTGTGGGATGGATTCTTCTGGGGATCTTGCCATGTGACTCCATGTGGTCCTAGACCTCCTTCCTGGTGACCCTGTGACCCCTGACATCAGTGACCCCTCTCACATCCCCAGCTCTGGGTCCTCTAAATCTCACCTGCATGCTCACTTGGATTGCAAAGCTGAGCACAGGGACAGCAGAGCCAGAAGGAACAGCGAGCCCTCGCCTGCGATTCTTGCCGGGAGAAAATTTCCCTTCACGTCTTCCTTTTAGGGTCATGCTGGGAAGGATCTTGTGAACCTACATTGTTGTGTGGAGGACGGTGAGGGGGGCAGGGATGCTGGGAAGGCAGCCCATAAATAGAAATAGTCCCTGGAAGGGAGGGGACAAGAAGGTTCTGGAACTTTGTCACCAAAACAGCCCAAGTTGTAAATCTCTCCAAAGGTGCCAGAAGGGGGGAGGGTGGCTAGTGCTGCCCACCTCCCTGCCTCCTGAACAGGGTGTAAGCACCCTCTGTGCCAGATGCACCTCCTCATAGCAGCCTGATGCTGCAGACAGCCCCATTAACACGCTACAGGTGGAGAAACTGGAGCACAGAGAGGTTGTGTCAGTTACACAAGGTCACACAGCATGGCCGAGACCCAGGAAGGATGGGAGGCAGAACTGTGTCCTCAGGCAGATCTGGTCCACTTTGCCCAGAGCTGGAAGCCAGGGTATTGGCGCCTTTGCAGGCTCAGGGTTGACGTATCACCTCTGGACAAGGCAGGCTCGAAGCCTCCCACCCACTACGGTCTGAGCAGGGTGTGTAGGGAATGTGGCTCCTAAAGTCCACTAACTCCCGCCCACAGCCTGCCAGGCGCCATGCCAGACTCCCACCCGACAGGCTCCCTCACCTGGGGTCTGCTGGGCACCTGGTGTGTGTGGGCTCTTCAGCCAAGTCCAGGGAATGTGTAGCCTGGGACAGGAGACACCTGGGCACAAGACAGCACTCCTATACGTACTGTAACGGCGCCACCAGGGACATGCCTGGGCCCTGGACCTGGGAGGATAGTCAGGGTCCAGAGGATGTGCTGGCTCAGCCACAGCCTGAGGGATGAGTAGGAATTTCCAGGGTGGGGTGATTAGGAAAAGGAGGGGACAGGAAGAGGGCTTGCTGCTGAGGGAATGGTGCAGAGGTCAGAAGGTGGAGGAGGGAGTCAGGAGGCTGGGATGCTGGGTAGGTGGGTGAAAGAAGAGAGGTGGGGCCTCCAGAGCCAGGTCACATGACTGCAGGACTCCTGAGGGGTGACAGGCCTGAGAGGATTAAGCCGAAGGTGCCTTGGTCCCCCCTCCTCTGCCTCCACCCAACCCACACCTTTTTCCTCCCCTCCCCAGTTGGAGGGTACTTGGCCTTGAGATGGAATTTTCTACTCCTGAGCAGGCTCCCACCTCTCTAGACAGGGCCCCCAAGGCGGCAGCGCCAGCACCCCCTGGGAACTTTGGAGGCAGGGCATTGTTGGGCCCCACCCTAGGCTTCTGAGTCAGAGCTCTGGGTCAGCCAGCACTCCGCTTTTTAACAGCCCCAAAGTCAGACTGATGCTCACCAGATGCAGAAACCAGGTGTCCAGGAAGACCACGCAGGACCCAGCGGCGCCCACCCCAGGGTCAGTCCTGGGCTGCTTCAGGACCCCCTCCATTGCAGAGCATGACAGCATGCTCACCATGACCATTTGCTTCACTTTGGGGTTCAGAACCATTCCTGGTAGCCCGGTCCCCCCTACAAAATAACACCTATTCTCTTTTATAGATGAGAAAGCTGAAGTGTAGAGAGAAAATGCAAACCTAGGACACATAGCAAACCCTCAGTAAAGGCCAGCTGCCCGTCTTTTTGTTATTGGTCTTCCTAATTGTAGGGTGAAGAAAGGATGGAAGTGGGTTTGTATATCACTACTAGTAAGTCTGGATAAGAAGAAGATGCTGAATACATGTGGCTTTTTAAGAACCATTTTAAAGTTACAACTTTACAGGAAAATACCTGAGTGATGTTTAAAAGTACTGGTTTTCTTCATTCAGACCATTTTTTTGGTTTCATGGTGGCACTAATGATCTTGTTTATACTCTGGAGGGAGGAGTTTAGACTGTTTTTTCAAAACTCCCCACATTTTACCTTTACTCTAGGAGATATACATATGACGATTTAAGCTTCAAATGTAAATAAATATTTGTTTTTATAAAAAGAAAAACATGAACAGTGTCTGCTCATTCACCAGTGTATTCTCAAGCCTATGAGAATTAGAAAAAGTCAGGAAGGAACATTCCAGTTGCCTCAGGGTTGGCTTCATGACCCATCTCCCTCTTGGACCTCTTTCCACTCTGTCCTGGGACCCACCTCCCTGACTCCTACCCGCCCTGTCAAAAACATCAGCCTGTTCCCTTAGGGGTGATCTTTCCCAGAAAGGGGACAAGCAGGGGTAGAGAGCAAGGGCTGGTCCTGAATACATGTGTTTCTTAGCAAGATTTCTCATATTCCAAAGTAGAGCACATTGTCTCCCATGATGAGTGTTCTCAGGGAGATGAAGCCTTTCAGAAGTTCAGGCTGTGCAGGCCGATGCCTGGGCCCATAGAGCTGATCTGTGAGTGTTTGTGCAGACGGTGCTGGGGGCACATGACTGCTCCATTGGGGGAGGGTGGTCCTGTATGTGCTTGCTTTTAAAAATTAAATGCATCCTCAGTTGAAGATCATCTATTCACTCGTCCATTCTGCCAACTAGGGGCCCAGAGTCTCCTGCACAGAGATGAGCAGTAATTACAAGTGGGTTTGCTTTGTGACAAAGCATCCTGGTATTAATTGGGGTCTTTGTATGGCTGTGAGGCTGGGGAGGACCCTTACCTTCTCCTGGGGGAGTCACCTATCCTAGTAACCTCAAACCGTAAGACCAAGGCTTTACTAAGGATTTTGGTTAAAATTAATGTGCTATTGTAGACTTTTTTAACTTTGGGTAAAGGAGATGGTGAAACCAGGCAGCTCCTTGGAGGCAAGGATTCTGAGGCTTCGTCTGACATACTTTGGGCATATTTCAAAGAGAGACCAGTCCTTGGAGAGGGACCTCATGCTTGGAAGGGTGAAGGGACAGCTCAAGAGAAGACCCTCGATGAGATGGATTGACTCAGTGCCTGGGGTAATGAGGGTAGGTGTGTCAGAGACAATAAGGTTGGCACAGGATACAGCAGATTTCAGAACTACTGTACATAGGGTCACTATGAGTCGCAAGCCACTGGATGACACGTAACAACAACAACAAATATTGTGGTAAATATATGTAACAAAATATTTTTGCCATTTAATCTATACAAGGGACATTAGATGTGTTCATGTCACTCTTCAGCCACCACCACTGTCCCTTTCCAAATGCTTACCTTGTCCTTAACAGAAGCATAGTACTTCTTTAGTCATTTGTAAAATGCTTATCTACATATGGTAAAATATCAGACAGCCCATGCTGCCTAGCAAATGGAAGTGTTACCCCACCCATCTCCCCTGACCCAAGTTTCCACCTTCCCAGAGGCAGCTATGGTTCCCAGGCCTGTGAGTGCATTTGTGTGCAAGTTTCCATGTTTTCTCCCCGACTCCCCCTTCCTTTTTAGGTTCCCAAGTAGGATCATGCCACATCAAAGGTCCCCAACCAGGGTGATTGTGTGCCTCCCTCACCCCATCTCACCCTCACTGCAGGGGATACTGGCAGAGTCTATAGACAACTATGTTTGTTTCCAGAGGAGGGAGGGTGCTGCTGCATCTAGTGAGTGGAGACAGGGGATACTGTGTTCCCAGGTCTCTCCTGGCTGGGGGCACTCTCCTTTCCCCACAATCAAGACTTATCCTGCCCAGAATGTCAAGAGCGCCGAGGTTAGGGAACCTGTCCTATTGAACACGCTGTGTCTGCACTCGTGTGTGTGTGTGTGTGTGTGTGTATGTGTGTGTGTGTGTGTTTAAATGTTTTATAAATAATTTCACATCGGCAATGAGGTGTTTTCCATCTTGAACTTTTGCAAACCTGCCTGCTGCAGGCGCATTCTTTTCCACATACAAGGGTGTTGATAGGATCAGCTCATGGAAGTGGCATGGAGAAATCAAAGCGTCCATTAACATTCTTGATGGTTTGATTCAAGTCTTGGGGGCATCGTGGGTGGTAAGACAAGTCTGGGGTTCTGGCTGCTAAGCTGGGCTGATCTCAAGTCTGGACAAGTGTCCTCCTTGTACCTGTCGACAAAGGGTGACCTGACTGCCCATCTTTCCACAGGATCAGGGTGTCCCGCACCTGAAGTTGATGAGCCAGCTACTGAGGCAAGCCCCTGAGCAGACTCCCGAGAGAGGCCTGAGGAACCCGCAGCCCACCTGTGCCCATGGATAAACGACTCTCGGTGCCCCACGAGTGTCGGGACTTCGTGCACAGCCTGAGGATGAGGAGCAAATATGCTCTTTTCCTGGCTTTCGTGGTGGTGGTTTTTGTTTTCATTGAAAAGGAAAATAAAATTATATCAAGGTGAGACATGCACATACAAGCTTCCCTGATCTAGGTGAACTGCAGTGGGGATGGCCCACTGTACACGTAGCCAACTGTGGGGCTCCACGTGGAGCTGCACAATCCTTCCTTTTCCAGCACCACCTCTATCTCAGAGACAAGCATGGCAGGACTGCACAGTAGTCAGAGCCTGGGCTCTGGTCTCAGGGATGCTGGAATCCCAACTCCGTCCCCCTCTTCCATGCCGCGGGCTGCTCCAGTCGGGAGGGGCTTATAAGCCTGAGGTCTAGGGTCTCGAAGAGGGAACACGACGGTGGGTAGAAGTTTGGCGAAGGGACGATGAAAGAACACAAGACAAACAGTCAAGTGATCTAGATGATTTTAATTCTGAGTCATTCTAATTCCCCTTCTTCTTTCTTCCCTTGCTTGTCCTTTTCCTTTTCCCTTTCCTTTCCTGCTTATTACATTCTACATGATACATTTATATTCCATTTTTACAATTAGAGGCTTAATCAACAGCCAGAAAAACAACAAGAGTAAGAATAAAGTTTACATTATTTTCTTACACACAGCTATATTTTATGATCATGGTTTCTTGGAGAGCATGAAAGGCTATTCTTAATGGTCATGGTTCCTTGGTAATTGGAGAGCCTGGTAGACAATGGCTTTTCACTTAAACATTTTCTTTTTAAACCTGTTCTTCAACTTGTTTGGTAGCAAAGTTACAAAGTAAAAAAGTTACATTTTAAATTTAAGCTGATACATTTTATGTTTTTAGCTAAATTTACAATATTATTTCCGTTCAAAAGACAACACTTTAACACTTTCCATTATTACAGGGGTGATCACTATCTCAATAAGGGGGTTTTGGTTTATAAAAAAATATGGTTTTGGGTCATAATATCGCCTAAATTCATCATTCCAATCTCATGTTTCATGATTTATTTTACCACTTATACCTTTCATAACATCTTCCCTCTGGTCACTTTCAAACCTTTTGAAAACCATATCCCAAAAACCATCAGGGTGTTTTGCATTAAATTCATCATATTTTCCAGTATATGGAAGAGGTTTATCTGTAGGCTCTGGAATTCTGTAAGGGCCTCTCTCAATAGGGGGCTTCCACAAACAACTATTACCTAACAGATAAACAATTCTTCCACCTGGTGTTCTCATGGTGGGGGGCAAGGGTTTTTGGGTTTTTCCTTTGAAGGAGTTCTTATAAACCCTAGAAATCTAGGAGTCTCTGGAGTGGTCATCTCTAGGATTTCCACCATTAATTCTTTTTGTTATAATGCATCCATGAATTCCCTTAAAATCATATTGTTCTTGAGAAGTTTTAACAATGCTAAAAGAACCGGAGGTAATGTTTGCGTATCAAAGTCGTCACCTCCATTTAGTTCTTTCTGGGAACATCTAACAAACTTTTAGTAGGAACATTTTGTGTAAAGAACACAGCCTTTTTTCCCTGTCCCACATAGAAAACACAAAGAGACAATAGAAGAGAAATTACATAAAGGCCAAGAACAATCATGGAGAAAGCACGCGTTCCGAGAAGCTGACTTCCTTGAAGTTTTCGCCTCAATCGGGTGATTTTGTCACGCAGACTCCCTTGGAGTTGGTGTGGCACTTCCAGACATGAGACCCTTGGCGAGTCACTTCACTATTCTGAACCTAAAGTGATTTTTCTGTAAAAGGTGACTTAAAGATGGTGGCTGCCTTGTGGTAAATGAGAAGATGTAAAAGCATTTAGCCCACTGCCTAGAAGATAGTTGATATCCATTACCTACCTATTAACTATGATTATTATTCATTGACTCTTGTCCTAGAATAATGCCTCCCATAAGCAGCACCTCCTTACCAGTCTGTGTCCTGGGTGAGGGTGAGCCCATGAAAGTGGGTCCTGATACAGACACCCCATGGGCAGGACAGCTGCCCAGGTGTGACCTGGTCAACCCCAGCAAATGCCACTCTCAGTAGGCTACACTGGGAATGTCACTCCCTAGAGTTGATGGTGCTCTGCTGGGCCAGTGACCCCACTAGGAGGGCCTACAGGACACAGAAAGAGTTCTTAACCCTCCTGGGCACTAACACTACAAGAAAGCATTAGCCAAGATGGACAGGCTATGAACTGGGCCGTGTAGTGCCACCATTGGTGCCTGGCCAGGTTTAACGTCCACATGTCCTATACCAGCCACCTGCAGCTTTCCACCCAAGGCTTTCTCTCTACATGCACAGTGTCAGGCTAGTGGTGCCAGGGAGTCATGGCTCCGGGGGCAGCCCAGGGCAGCCCAGGGCCGCCCAGGTGGGAATATTCCATCCCTGAGATGCGCTCACACTGGCTCCAGGGTTGCCTAGAGGAATAATTTGCCCCAATATCTACTGATTTCTTTTTCTCCCCTGCCTCATCTCCCTACTTCTCTGAGTTCTTCCTTCCATCTTGTCCCAAATAAACTACTTACTCTCAAATCTTTGTTTCTGGAGAACCCCAATTAAGACAGGTTTTGAGTGAGCTGCTTAGAGGAACAACCTATCTGAGTGGAAGGAACTTGAACTTGGGCAGTGGACAACAGCAGCACCACCAGGTTATCTGCCTTTCACCGTCTAACTCTCTCTGATGACATCATGACCAGGTTAGTCACTGACTGCTGTCCCCTTCCTCACAGGGTGTCGGACAAGCTGAAGCAGATCCCCCAGGCTCTGGAAGATGTCAATGGAACTGACCCAGCCTTGGTCTTGGCTGAGAATGCGTCTCTGTTGTCCCTGAGCGAGCTTGACTCTGCCTTCTCCCAGCTGCAGAGTCGCCTGCGAAACCTCAGCCGGCAGCTGGGAGTGGAGGCCGAAAGGGAGGAGGAGGTGGTGCCCCCTCGGCCCGCTGCATCCCCGCCCCGGCGCCACGTGCTGCTCATGGCCACCACGCGCACCGGCTCCTCCTTCGTGGGCGAGTTCTTCAACCAGCAGGGCAACATCTTCTACCTCTTTGAGCCGCTGTGGCACGTGGAGCGCAGCGTGGCCTTCGAGCCCCATGGCGCCAGCGCCGCTGGTTCGGCCCTGGTCTATCGCAGCGTTCTCCAGCAGCTCTTCCTGTGCGACCTGTATGCCCTGGAGCCCTTCATCAGCCCCCTGCCCGAGCACCACCTGACGCCCTTCATGTTCCGCCGGGGCTCCAGCCGCTCGCTCTGCGAGGACCCGGTGTGCACCCCCTTCGTCAAGAAGGTCTTCGAGAAGTACCACTGCAAGGACCGTCGCTGCGGGCCCCTCAACGTGACGCTGGCCGCCGAGGCCTGCCACCGCAAGGAGCACATGGCCCTCAAGGCCGTGCGCATCCGCCAGCTCGAGTTCCTGCAGCCGCTGGCCGAGGACCCCCGGCTGGACCTGCGCGTCATCCAGCTGGTGCGAGACCCCCGGGCCGTGCTGGCCTCGCGCATGGTGGCCTTCGCGGGCAAGTATGAGACCTGGAAGAGGTGGCTCTCCGAGGGCCAGGACCAGCTGCAGGAGGAGGAGGTGCAGCGCCTGCGGAACAACTGCGAGAGCATCCGCCTGTCCGCCGAGCTGGGGCTGCGCCAGCCCGCCTGGCTGCGCGGCCGCTACATGCTCGTGCGCTACGAGGATGTGGCGCGCTGGCCGCTGCAGAAGGCGCGCGAGATGTACCGCTTCGCGGGCATCCCCCTGACCCCGCAGGTGGAGGACTGGATCCAGAAGAACACGCAGGCGGCCCGGGACGGCAGCGGCATCTACTCCACGCAGAAGAATTCCTCGGAGCAGTTCGAGAAGTGGCGCTTCAGCATACCCTTCAAGCTGGCGCAGGTGGTGCAAGCCGCCTGCGGCCGCGCCATGCACCTCTTCGGCTACAGACTGGCGCAGGACGCTGCCTCCCTCACCAACCGCTCGCTCAGCCTGCTGGAGGAACGTGGCACCTTCTGGGTCACGTAGGACGTCTGGGGGACCCATTCCCCTCCTCATGGAAGTCCACTTGGCTTTCCTCATTCCCCAGCCTGCAGTGAGACTGCGCTCTCAGGAGGCTGGCGGAGCGCACAGTCAGCAGGCCGAGACCCTCTGCCATAGAAGTAGGCCTCATGCCAGCCAGCTTGCCCACCGCAGCCGGGGCCAGCAGGACAGCACCAGCACTCAGACCTCAGGGGCTGCAGCATCCAGAGCAAGCCTGGGCCTATGACAAGCCTGCCTCACACACTCGCGCTCGCACACACGCACCCAGAAACATGCATCAAATACAAATACTGCTTGTGGGCAAGCGTCCAAACGTACAGCAATCAGAGGGAGAGTGAGCCCTGGCCAGGCACTGTGGGACCGCCTACAATGTCCAGGGTTAACTGTTTCATGTCTGGATTGTGGAAATACCTGAGTGTGGGTGGGGTTTTATTGGAGCAGCCAGGACAGCCCAGGGTATCAAGGAGGAGGGGACTTTGGGGGGTCATCTGGTGACCAAAACAAGATGAATATTGGTATGTTAATAACTGGTGAAATTGTGCTGAAGTCCCTGGTGGTCCAAACCGCTAAGGTGTTTGGCTGCCAACTGAAAGGTTAGAGGTTCAAAAGGCCTGATGGGTCTGCTTCTGACAGATGAGCCATTGGAAGCCCTGCTGAACTCAGTGCTGTTCTGTCACCCACTCATCACCATGAGTCAAACTTAACAGGCAAACTGTCTTTAAATAGCTATGTTGGTGTTCTGATGAATAGAGCTAAAACACACACACACACACACACACACACACACACACAGAGGCAAGCTTCCCATTGCTTTATGCCCACTAGGTTTATCTGGATCACACCCCTGAAGAGGAGCCTTTAATGACTTTTTTTTTTAATTAATGGGAAGGAGTTATGGCCATGCGCAAGGACCCAATCCCGTGACCAGTTTGGACTGAATGAACAGTGAGTCTTAAACCCCTGATGTGTGGCCCCTGTCCATCCTGGGTCATCCACATCCTTGTTGCTGGCAGACAGGGTGTTTTGAAACTCTCACGTGCTCGAGCTTGACCAGCTGGAACAGCTGTGTTCCCTGGGGTGAAAGACAGCCCACAGCTCTGCTATTTCCAGCCCTGCCTCCTCAGGGGCGGGGCGGGGAGGGGAAGAAAATCAAGTGTGCTCTTCAGGGAGAAGTCACATCAGGATACCCTTCCCCTGAGAAGCCGCGTGCTTCTCTGCTGACTGAGGTCAACCAGATGGTCACAGCCATGGTTAGTTAGAACCAGTGTCTGGAATTCCTCCTGTAGAGCCCTGGGGAGAGCATTGCTCAACTGGAGCTGGGCAGAGTGTGTGTGGGGGTGTGGAGGGGGTTAGGTTATTTATGGTGTGGTGTCTTTCTTGTTTGCTGCCTGTATTTTTGGTTTGTCTTTTGAGAGTGCCCCAGAGAGGGATCCACAGCTGAGGAGACTAGGATGCACAGTGGGAAGTGTTTGGAAGAAGAGGAAGGAGGAGGCAGAGGTTTCCCCAGAAGGCCACAAGGCAGGAAACACACAACACACACAGAGAGAGAGAGAGCACCTTGCTGCCTGGACCCTGAAAGGCCACAAGGCAAGCCACACACACACACACACAGAGCCTTGCTGCCTGGACCCTGAAAGGCCACCACACACACACACACACACACACACACACACTCTGCCTTGCTGCCTGCACCCTGAAAGGCCACAACACACACACACACACACACACACACACACACACACACACACACACTGCCTTGCTGCCTGGACCCTGAAAGGCCACAACACACACACACACACACACACACACACACACTCTGCCTTGCTGCCTGGATCCTGAATGTAACCGATCTCGTACCACCAGGGCTCTTGCTCAGTGAATTAGATGCAACATAATTTAGCAGTTCTCACTCCCTCACTAAAGGCCAAATTTAAAAAGGCCTCAAAAAAATCCAGCGCATTCCCTCAGTGCCAGAGAGCATACAGTCACGCAGTGCATGTCTCCAGAGTGGAAGCCCTGCCCAGATCCCACGTCTAGACCCAGAGCAAGCCCAGTACCGGGCCCAGAACCCACAGGGGTTTGCGACATTTCAGCATGGCCTTCGGCTCAGGGAATCCATTCAAGTCTTGTTTCTGATTTCCTAGACAACTTCTACATCAAATATGAACTGTTGTCAAGTCCCAAAGACTGAGTTTTAGTCTGAGTAACGTGGATGCCAGGGAAAGACCAGATCCAGCTGCTGTTGCCACAGGAAAGGGATGAGTGGCATTTGAGGACTCCGTCCTTGCAAACAGCTATTCAAGGATGTCTCTGCTCTTGAGGGTTTTTTTACGTCCAAGGAGAAGCTGACCTTAATGCCCAAAGGCCTCTAGTTGTGAAAACTTGACCATGAGCAGCTCCTGGCCGGCCCAGAAGTGCAGGCTTATCTTCAGTGCTCCCATACGGCCCCATCCTCTGTTCCGAGAGTGGACAGCGGGATTGTTCATTCCCTCCTGCGTGTCTGAGGCCTTAGCCTCAGTCCCTCAGTGCACTGAGGACGATGGCAAGAATGGACCTTCAGATCATCTCAGGACATTGATGTTTTTGTACACTGCAAGTTGATTTAATTTATTTATTTTTATGGGATGACAAAGGAATAAAGAAACAGAATATACTTTATTATGGGAAGAGACTCCGAGCTCTACCAAAATCAAGACAAAAGCATAATAATAATAATAAAAACCATTCACATGTGACATACTTAGAAAGACGTTTACAGACAACTCAGAATCCAAGAAGGTTATAAACCAAGAGTCCCTGGTCTCAGCAGCCCCCAGTTATTGTGTAAGGGTTTTTGTTTACTTCATAGAAGTTTGTAGATGTGACATTAGGGTCTCGCGTCCAGGTGTCTGAGACAAAACACAACCTAAGTATGTGTTGCCTTGAAATGTATTCCCCTGGGGCTCAGCAGTGCTCTGTGAACCCTCAGGGTTTGGGGAGGGGTGTTGGGGGGATGACTACTGATTTTATACACCTTAGGACATGGGGAGCGGTGCCTTCAGCGTTTCAGCAGGGCGGCTGGGTGGAGAAGGTTGTAGGGCCGATGCCTGCGTCCCTTGTCCAGTGAGGCCAGCTCTGGTTTCCCCCTGCTCCACCAGGAGCCAGGCTTCCCCTCCAGAGCACCCACCATCGGGTCTGAGTGAGACAATGCAGTGACCGTTGCCACCAGAGGCCACTGTCAGCAGTGCCCATTCCTGGCTTTCCCTCGAGCCTGGTTTGGAATGCTGGCAGTGGAGAGAGGCCCTGGGAGACCTTGGGGCCTGTCAGCAGCATTTCTGAGCCCTTTAGGAGAGGTCACATGTTTATGACCAAAGCTGGGAGACAGTAAATTCTAGACTTTTGTCCCCTCATGTGACAATCCCCATTTCAAAAGGAATCATGAAGAGAAAAAAAAATATTTTCATGAATTCACTCACTGTCTGCTGGGCTCTGGGAACTCCAGAGGAGCACAAGACATCCATCCACCCCCTCACAACTTCATCTTTTCCTCCAGTCCTTGCCAGATAGATGTCTGGTGACATGAGGACGTACAATCCTGGTCCCAGGAGATGAGAGCTTAGCATGGACTGGAGTGAGAGAGGCGAGCATCAAGCTGTGGTGTGGACCTGACTCGAAGTCTCCAGGACTGGGTCCTCGCCTCTGTTCTAGAGCCTGTTTTCACTGACTGCGGCCTCTTTCTTGATTGACCTCAGTCCATGAAAGTCAGAAGCAGATCCCGGCCACTGCAGATCCAAGACATGCTCGTTCTGGGTGCACTCTTCCACCTCCAGAGATTGGGCGTGAAGGCAGGTCTCAAGAGATGGGATCCTGAGGTAAGGAAGCTGAGAGGACGGGGGACAGTTGTCTCAAGAAGCCGGTTTTTGAGGAAACTTGTGGCACAGGTCTTGCTAAGTGAACCTTAGGAGCTTTTGCTAAAATCCAGAAGCCCCTGGTCAGCAGGTTTGGGAACATAACCTGGCTCTGCTGTCTGAGTGGCCACCCTGGGTGGTGCAGACCCCTGCAGGTAACCGCCCACCGGGGAGTCCGAGTCCTGCTGGACAGCACTGAAAGGGCCCTGGGCACGAGTGCTGCCCACATCACCTCTCAGCTGCCTGGTTTCAGGAACAGCAGAAACTACTGGTTCACCTCAGACAGATGAAGGAGCCCTGGCAACTCGATACCTTAAGAACTGCAAAAACTTTTGGTCCTGCCTGTTTTGTCACCCCATGAGTGCATGTGGGGGACCTGTTAGCTATGTTCCCAGGGGTGCAGGCGTGGTGCCATCGACACAAGCTTCAGCTCATTAGCAGGTACTATATGAGGAGGAAAGCCCAGCAGCCACGTCACCAGCTTCCTTTAGGCCCGGGCTGGAACTGGACCTGATGTCTCCATCTGTGATATTCCGGGCTGAGTTTACCTGGCTCCTTTGCTCCCCCCAGAGTCTTGCAACTGTGTGTCTCTGCAAGACCTCAGCCCATGTCATGGCCACAGGGGTGCAGGTCACCCTCTTTATGGCCCTATGTGGCCACAGTATGTACACGTCTCTTCACATGCGCACATGTAGCATGTGATTCTGCTTCGCCTCTGGCACTGCTCGCGCTGCTTCCAGACCCCTGTCAATATCCCGTTGTCCTACCCATGGCCATGGTCACCAGCCACCTGCTGTCTTCCAGAAGCACAGGGACTGCTCTTCTGAGCTGCGGCCACCGCGGGTCAGGGGCTGCTTTGCAGAACAGAATGTGAACTTTGTGGCCCATCACCTGATGGTGCACTTGACTTAATTTAATTAAAAACAAATCCACGCAACGAGCAAAATGTGAAATGTGTGTCTGTTTTGCTTTGAAGTTTGTTCTCAGCAGCAGTTAACAGAAAAGTGGGCAGCTACCAGGGAGGGGTGATTGCCTGCGGAGGCCCTCCACTCCCACGTGATGTGGCCTTTGGGGCTGAGTGCAGGCTGCAAAAGGAATCTTGTCTCTCTTTTTTCAGTTCCAAAAA